AGGGATAGAAAGTAAGGGCAGATGAAAACAGTCAGCAGAGAAGAAATTGTTAAATTGTGGGGGTTGAACCCAATGTTATGAATCCAAACATGAATTTCGCTCTGTAAACTTTCAGCTAAATCATAATAAAAAGTTTAAAAAGTCAAAAGAGAAAGAGAGAGAATGGAATCAGTTTAGAAATTATAATGCTGAGGTCATTTTTAAACCAAAAGACACTTAAGCCTGTAGCCACGGTTTACTTCAATGTTTTACTGTCTGCTATTCTAAATGATTAATGATGCAGATGTGCCGCACAAAGTTGATTGATGTTAATGCACTAGTAGCTACCTTATACTACTACACTTGTTCAACAGAACTTTTCTGATTTAAACACTTTCTTTCACCGTAACAGCAAACACTGAACTGATTTCAGAAAGTATGCATCTAACAGGTGAAAGAACTCCGGTGAGCTGAGTTGAAGAAGTCTCAGACTGACCGCAGATGACTTCCACTAAGTAGTTCCTGAAAGTACACGCAAACATTTTCCCTTTCAGCTTGGTATTTTGCCTTACGAGACTTGTGTTTTGAGTATGTTCAACTAAATAGGCAAACAAATTTCACACTGGAAATTATTTTGATGAACATACTGCGTAAATTATGTCCTCAGGAAAGTCTTTGGAAGTGAAGGATTATTTTAAGAAGAAATAATTACATACATGTTCCTAATTTTCATCTTTCAAAAAACTCACGTTGTTTCACATACCAGGTTTGCTTAAGGTAAAAACACCATTTCTGTAGGCATTACCAATTAGACACAATAAGATGCAAGCCCTAAAAGGCAAACCATAGTGGGTAAACGGGTGCTAGGTAATCACCTACCTATAGACCTTTCCATACACTTCTTGTCCCTATGGTTGAAAGGTCCACGCTCCTAGCAAAAGGTTAAGTTCTATCCTCTATTCTATGACCTCTCAAGGTCATAGATCTCACAGTTCTCCTTCTACGCTCCTGCATCACCAATTTTCCTCTTTACTGAGCCACCATCGACAGCGCGCACGCGCACACACACACACACTCACTCACTCTTAAAACACAATCTGAGTTCCTTCTACTCTTCTCTCCAGCTATTTTGTCCCTCACCTTCCCTTGACAATAGAACATGACAGCCCTATCTATACTATCTTAAAATTATGCTGGTGGTGGTTGCCATGGAGTTCATTCCAGCTCACAGCAAACCCGTGTGTGACATTAGAAATCTCTAGGTCTATTCCCTGAGATGCCTCTATGTGGGTTCAAACTGGCAAGCTTTTGTTAAATTAGTAGTAGAGAGCTTAACTATTGGAGCCACTTAGGAACGCCTCTTAAAATTGTATTATTTTAAAATTACTCCTCTTAAGCTTATTAAGCTCCTTTGTTAAATCCTGTGATTGGGCCTCAGTCCTCTGCCAGCAGCATCTGGGATACTTGCTAATCCCTCTCTCCTCTAGAAACACTTTCTCTCCTGTCTTTCCCTGGGTTTCCTCCTCCTTGGTGGTTGTTTTTGATCTTGCTGGCCCTGTATCACCTTCTGCTTTCTAAATAAATGCGGGAGTGCCCCAACACTCCATAGTTAGATCTCTCTGCTTGCTGAACATCACTCCCTAAGTCTCCCGGCTGGAACTACCAAGCATATACCAATGATGTCCCCATTTATTTCCCCAGCTTGGATTTCCTGGAACTCCAGAGTTGAGCTGCCTACTTGATATCTCCATTTGGATATTTGATAGACATCTAAAATTTGGTTAATATGTATGTCCAAAACTAAGTTCCTGGTTCCAAGCTCCACCCCCACCCCACCCCACACACACACAACGCAGTTCCTCTTGAAGTCTGTCTTGCCTGTCTAATTAATATTGCTCATACTCTAAAATCCTGACATCAGTCTTAGACCTTTCTGTCACATGCTACAACTAGCTTCAAAACAGATACACCATCTTTCAATGGACGAATACTTAGCAATAAAAATGGGAAGTAACAACAAATAAATGCAATGATATGGATGAATATTTAAAAATAGTACATGGTAAGTAAATCAGTGGTTGCCTGGGCCTGGGGCTGGAGTGGGGATTGGTTAAAGGAATCTTTGAGAGTGATAGAAAGGAAAAAATTTAAAGTTTTCTATTTTGATTGTGGGGGGCACCTCCATGAGTAAATAAATGGCAAAACTCATAGAACTATATGATACTTACATTTAATTATATGGTAACTATACCTCAATAAAGTTGGTTAGATACACACTACCTTCCAACACTCACTGCTGCAGCAGTGAACGCGCCAACAACTTTGAGCAGCACCTTCCTTCGGGATTTCAATAGTCTCCTGACTAGTTCCCTGCTGCTGGCCTTGCTTCCCCCGCCTTGCACAGTCAGCACAGCGGCCAGGGTGACGAGGTTAAAAACATAAATCACATTATGTCACGTCTCTGCTCAGAACCCTCTAATGGCTTCTCCTCTCAGGTAAAGTCAATGTCCGTATTGTGATTTATAAGGCTCTCTCCCTGACGGCTGCACTCCAACCAGTGCTGTTCTTCTAATATGGCACGCCCGCCTTGGCACTTACTGTCCCCTCTGGCTGAAATGATGCAATCCTTCTCTCCCAACACAGCCACGTGGTCCGTTCCCTCATTTCCTGCAGGTCTTTGACTTAAAGGCACCATCCCAGTGAGCCTGTCCACCTTATCTAAAATTTAAGCACCCCACCCTTACTTCTATTTAATTTTCTCCTTTCCTGCTCCCCCACTTCTCAGCACATATAATTTTCTAATTTACTTATATTTTGCTAATTTTCCTATTTATTGGCATTCTCCTGTACCACAATGGGTAGCCTATGAGGGCAAGAAATTTTACTTGTTTTTGACCACTGTATCCCTAGAGCTTAGAATAATATCCAAAATAGATGTTAAATGAATAAATTAATGTAACAACAAATTCTAGCTTTCCCTTTAATATTGCTGACAGCAAAAGGAATTTGTTTTATAGATGTAACAATTGATATTTGCTTTCAAAAATGATGGCATATTAATAAAAACTTTAACACATTTAAATAAATGTTAATATGTCAGCGCAAACTGTCTCCAATTCTAATTGAGGAAATAAGATCCACTATCATTGAGAACTTTTTATATTTGCATAGATTTTTTTTAAAAGCAAGGGCTGAAGAATGTGAAATAACCTTTATCATTGTCCAAAATTAGATGCAGTCTTTTTGGGTCCTTTGCAAAAGGCAGATAACCTCATGTCTCCTGAGTGGCCCCTAACTATGACAATAGAAAAACAACAGCCTGGCAGTCTCAGATTAAAGAATGTTTTTAATTTACATAACTCTTGTTTATTCTTACCATGGAAAAGTATTGCTCAGAGGAATTGCTCACTTTAACAGCAAGCCACATAAAGTAGCGTTAAAGGGGAGGTAAGTTTAACATAAGTTATTTAACAGCAAATCAGAAGGGAGAAGTATCTTTGCTCTATAGGTCTGAGTCTCTTCTCCTTTAAGGAGGCAAACAATACAGCTCTGGGAGTCCAAAGGAGGTATCTCCTTAGAAACTGCAGAGGAGAGGATTCATACTGCAGCCTTCACCTGCATCCGGCAGCTCTTATTTGAAACACATTAAAGTGCTCCGCTTCGTTCAAGGAAAGAGTACCACTGTGTGGGAATTAGCTGCTTTGATAGAAGCAGCACCAGCACTACACATTGGTCATCAAAATAAAGAATTTAAGGTTTCACAATAGGATTAAAAATACTTTATGAAGTTTAAATGGAATGAAAATTTGGGGGCAGCATCACTATTTAAGCAGCTCTAAATATATTCAATGTAATTGTTAAGGATAAAATACTGCAGCTCTAATTTTTATTACATACAAGCTGTCCTTTTCATTTCTATATCAATTGCTTAAACACAGACAATAAAAAACATAACTATAATATACTGTGCTAGCACAGAAAGATAATAGTTGCCTGAAAACCTGGCATAACACTGTTATACTTTATAACCAAAAACATTTTAATGCTAGAATTAAGCAGGACCACTTACTTAGTGTTTGTTTATTTTTTTGGAATACATAGTATCTATCACTTCATCTCTACTTCAAAGAAAATAAAAACCCAAAAAAGAAAAAGAAAGAAAGAAAAGAAAAAGCCCTCCAAACCTTCTCATTTCTAAGTTGTTGTTTTTTTCTGGGCTGCTTTAAATATATAAAATAGTTTTTCTAAATAGGCAAATTTTAAAAAATTGGTACTAAAACTAGTAGGCACTGGTAATAGATGAGAAGTACCTTAGAAAAGGATCAATAAAATGGAGTTTTATTCACTGGTTTCGAGTTTTCAAAGCAAGATGAAATGAGAACGATCAGACAGTACCTTACCCTTTCTACCGGTGAACCATAGCATGCAATGCCGAAACATAGCAGTGACAGATGGCATTGGTGTTGTTAACTCTACAAAAGGACAACAGCAGAGAAATGACGACTGGCAGACAAGACACAGAAATGCGGTGAAATGAATGCACTTGCAGTTCTTGAAGCAAAGCAAGACCTTTAAACCACAGGTTGCCACTAGCTTCAATTGAATTTCTACTTCAAGTTTTATACAAACACTGCAGCCTTCTCAATCAGTCTTTAGACTCTTCATGCAGTAGCAGACCCAGACTCCTCAATAAAGAAGATCAGCAACCTTCTGTAAACATAAGCCAGCAGCAGCAGCAGCCCATTACTCTCTCCCTTCACTGATTTTTATCCTTTAAATTTTTAATCTCCAATTGCAGCCACATCCACAGTCGCTTCAAAACAGATCTGTATCCACTGCAGAGGATACAAATCCCTGCCTAACCTGCAGTACCACTTCATCCAGAATGTTCCTGTGCACTCGTTCATGCAGGATCTGTTACAAAAGCATTCAAATAATCCACAAACAACCCACAAGAGGAGAATAGAAGCAGTTGGAGCTATGAACAGAAGAAGAAGAAAAAAGCTTTCCTTTCAGCTCACCCTGGAAATGGAAGGTTTTCTGATCAACAGTTATTGTGAAGGTGCTGTCGTCCTCATCGTCTATACCAATCACAGCTCCCTGCGAAACAAAGAGCAAAATCCCAATAAGGCAAACAATGACATCAGCAATTTTCACTACTGCTACAGCCCTGGAATGTTCAATGCACCCAAGACACTGGAAGCTGGCTAGACATAGTAAAGGGGAGTCAGAGACTCTAGTTTTGTTTGAGGAGGAAGAATTAATGGGGTGGTGGTGACAGAGCACTGTGGTACTCTGCATGGAAGTGGTGGGTGTGAGGGGGGGGCAAGGACACACACAAGGTGAATCTGGAATGTGAGAGCCAGCCACTAAGCCTTTCTCTGGTTTAGACTGCTCTCTAGCACAGGGCTCAGAACCTGCCCGTCACGACATTGTTGTGAGGCTCAAAGGAGGCAGGTGCTCTTCCCTGGCCTGCTTCTGTCATACCTGTAGGGCAGAAATGCCAGGTGACACTGGCTTTAAAACACTCTCCCAATCACATCTTCCAGTGCTCCCATCACCACACAAACATCCTCCACTACTATAGCTTCCATACTATACTGTGATCTGTATATTTATATGTTTGTTTCCTCCCACTAAGTGCTATAAGGTCTTGGAAGTCAAGTTTTATTTTATTTATTTATCTGGACACATGGTCCGCAAATATACACTCAATATATCTCTAAAATAAAAATATAAAGAACTCTCAAGGGGCACAAGGAATTGCTGAACCACACATACAAATTGTTTGTTAGGGGAAGATGACTCTTAAAACCAAACCCTTACTGCCAAAGAGTTGATTCCAGCTCATAGTGACCCTACAGGGCAGAACAAAACTGTTAACCTTTGGGTTTCAGGCTGTAAATCTTTTAGGGAGCAGAAAGCATCCTGTTTTTCCCTCAAAGTGGCGGGTAGGTTTGAACTGCTGACCTTATGGTTACCAGCCCAATGTTGATGGGGTAGGTTTTCAACCTTTTCCCCCTCATATTCAACAACATGTACCCTATTAAGACAGTGTAAATCAAGAAGGAAGATAGGAAGCTATGCAGAATACTGATGAGGGTAAAAAATAAGTACCTTAAGCATACCAGCCTAGCAAACAAGGAATATGACAAGTGTCCAGGGTTGATGACAAGAAAAGTCATAGGCCACTTACCAAAGACCTCAAAACTGGGGGTGGGGTGGGGTGAAAAGGCTTGAGGAGTCAAAAATACCCAACCCTGTGAAAAAAGGTTACAGGACTCTTCCTGCTCCGAGGAGTCCTGACAGCGTAGTGGGTTGCATGCTGGGCTGCTAACTGTTAGGTCAGCAGTTTGACCCCGCTCGGGGCTCTGTGAGAGCAAGATGAGGCGTTCTGCTCTCCACCCTCAGAAACGCACCGGGGAGTCCACTCCGCCCTGTGCGATCGCTATGCTGTCACACGGACTTCATGCCAGTGACTTTAGTGGGGCTCTTCTAACTGCTGTTGTTATTCCTAGTCCAAGAAGACTAGGCAATAGAGATAAAATATGCACTCAGTTTTTCACAGAGGCTGTTTGGGAGACCCCCAAATCCCATCAGGGTGAATTATCTTAGTTATTCTTCAATTCAGATTAGTTTGGAATTTGTACTTCCATTGGCAGATAAGAAAAGTGTTCTCAGAAAGTATTATGATTGACTTGGGGGGGTCACACAAGAATCAACGGCAGAACCTGGAGCCGATCACCATTGCCAAGCTTCTTCTTTATTCCATGACACCCAATATATGCATGGGGAACAAATAACTTAATTATTATAATCAAATGAATTACCCTTCTAGCTTATGATATACCAAATAGCTAAAGTTTCACAACTAAATACCAAAAGCATATGCTGGATAAAACTCTAGAATATGCAAGACTCATCCCTGCCCTCCAGGCACTCCATTCCAGTGTCGAAGAAAAACATGCAAAGAAGCATATTAGGAAACAGTGAACTTTACAGAGATGAACCTTAAAAACATACACTCAATGAGAGAAGTGTGGCACAAAGGATGCCATACGGTGTCATCCCATATCTATTAAATGTCCTTACGAGGCAAATCCATAGGGACAGGAAGTAGATAGAGGAGTGGTGGCCTAAGACGAGCAAATCTGTCTTAGGGGAAGTACAGCCAGAATGCTTCTTAAAAATGAGAATAATGAGACTTCAAGTCACGTATTTTGGCACATGTCAGGAAAGACCCATCCCTAGAAAAGTCCATCATGCTTAGCAAAATAGAAAATCAGCCAAAAATTAAAAAACAGAGGAAGACCCTCAATGAGCTGGGTTGGTACAGTGGCTGCAACAAGAAAGTGACAACCGTGAGGATGCAGCAGCACCAGTTTCATGGGGTCGCCGAGTTGTAACCACCTGGACAGCATCTAACAACAATGGGGCTGGGGGCAAACACTGGGTGAAATGAGGAATAGCTGCTAATAGTTTCTTTAAGCAGTCATGGAAAGTTCTAAGATTGTGGTGATGGTCGCACAATTCTGAGTATACTAAAGCCATCAAACTAAACCCTATAAATAGGTGAATTGTGTAGTGTGAATGATGTCTCAATAGAGTTGTAACTCACTCTACCCCTAAATGTCCTAACATAAGTTCACTAGTCAGTCAAGGAGACTTGGTGATAGTGGCAGATAAGCAGTAGATGGCTAACTGCAAGGTCAGAATTTCAAATCTACCCGTCACCTTGTAGAAAACTGCTGAAGATATATGCTCATGTATAAATTTACAGCCTTGGAAACCTTAATAGTGTCACTATGAGATGGAATCAATGTGATTGCAGTGGGTTTTAGTTACTTAGTCAACATTACCACAAGTGTGCTCATGACACCAATCACACCTCTGAGTTATTTTATCAAGTTCACTAACTCTTCTTCATCCTCACTGCTACTGCTCTAATGCAGCCTCTCATCACTTCTTATTTAATACGACCATCCGTCTGCCTTCAGTCTGGCCCCCTTCTAGTCTATGGCCCTTGCTATTGCCAAGATAGCAGTTCTAAAGCACGGACTCTTACAGGAGACTAGATGCTTAAAATCTTTCTCAACACTCTATGAACATTTAGATAAAGCCAAAATTTCTTCATGGTGGCTGTCAAGACTATTCAGAACCTGCTTGGGGGCTTAGGATCATAGTCTTGGGGAAACAACTCCGTCAAATAATGTAACGCTGTTCACGAAGACAATGCTCTACATCCTACTGTGGTAAGGAAGGGACTGGGCTCTTAAAAGCTAGTGAGAAGTCATCTCAGGTGCAGCTAAAGGTCTTTCCCATGCAGAATTGAGGAGTGAAGAAAATCACGCTGGAGAAAATAACCAATCCAAAGCTTATGAAACGAGGCCAGAAGAGCTAGGTGGTTCCTGGCTACCTCATAGAAACCACGTAATGTCCTGGACAGATGAGGAAAATGTAGAACAAAAACCATATTAAAAAAACCAGACTTATTGACTGGTGGAAACCCACAGGCTGTGGCCCCTAAACACTCTTCAAACCTAGATTTGGAGCCACCTCCAGGGACCACTTTGAAACCAAACAATAGACAGGCCTGGGAAGTGAAAAATGTCACTCGGGAGAAACATGCTCTTTAGAACAATTAACCGTAAGAGACCAAATGGCCTCAAATGCTCCACAGCATTTGCTCCAAAACAAGCTCAAGCAGGCAGGAAGCAGGCAGGAAATAAGGATGAATAGGGGACCAGGGAGGAAGCATGGAAGGATGCTATTACACTGGTGGGCTCTGTAACTAATGTTGCAAAACACAATACTTAGAAATCGTTGATCAGAAAACTTTCATCCAACTCCATCATTGACCAAAAAATCTTTCCAGTGCCACTACCACCATGCTTCTTTTCCATCTCACAGAGGCCCCATTTATACTCAGGCTCAACATTTCTTTGACACCCTGAAAAAATAATCACTACATTATGTCCCTCTTTTACATCCTGACATCCCTCAGCACAACTCCCTGCCAAAGCAAAACCTCATGGCTCTCTTTAGTCGCCATCTCTCCCTCCCGCTGTTTTCACAAGAGCTTTTTGAAAACTGGCCCTGCTCAAGGTCAATATTCCTAACCTCTCATCCACGCCTGCAATCCGGCTTCGTTCTTCAACACTGGATCAAACTGCTCTCACACAAGTGTCCCACCAGCACTTCAGTCAATCCCTCAAGCATCTGCAGCTGCTATTTCTTCCCCAAGCCTTCACCTGGTTTCACTTTCAAGGCACTCTATCTGGGTCCCCTCAGCTCCAACCATTCCTTCTTGGTCTCTTGAACAAGTTCTCATTCTCTTGCTCATCCTTTGGTTTGTCCTTAAATTGTCTTCTCATTTAATTCCTGGCTGCTTTCAATGCTCAATTGGCCTCGACTACTGAAGTATCCATAGGTTTTACTTTTACAGACCTGAAAACTGTAACAACAAAAAATCTCTTCTGCAGAAAACAACACGCACACATTGTTTTATACACAAGGAGGTTGGCAGACCCATGAAGCCTGTTCATGGACCCTCAGAAGGATCACAACAGATTGAGGATTCCCAATTCATAATGCTGATGATTCCAAAAATAATTCCTCCTGAGTTCCAGTCCTCACAGGTGGCTCTGGATGTCTCACCAACCAATCACCTCTTGCTGTTGGATTAACTCTGACTCAGATGTGTCAAAAGAACTGTGTTCCAAAGGGTTTTCAATTTTTTGGAAAAAGATTACCAGGTCTTTCTTCTAGGTGGCTCAGCAAGGACTCTCACCTTCAATCTTCTTAAGTACATTAACAGTATGCACCATCCACTGTCTCTAAAGTTTCAATGGCTACTCAAATTCAACACACTTGAAAAGAAATTAACTCCTCTCTCACAACAAAACATGTTCCCTTGTTTGTGGTTCCTTATATTGGTTATGGTAAGAACACATTCCAATCACATAAACTAGAAACATGAGCGCCCATCCTTGCCTTCTCTGTTTCCTAGATAGATACCTAGATGAAAAGCAAACTCCTTCCTGCTTCGTCTCTGTTCACATTCAATCAGTCATGGTAGCTTACAACACTGACATTTTCTG